CCACTTGGAAATCGCAATCAAAAAGGGGAGTCTCAGATAGTAATTTGATATTAATAATTAATCATATTCACAAGTGCACAGTTGCGGAAGAATTAATTATTGATGCGCAATTGCCGGTGTGTTCAAAGCACTGCCTTTTTCTGTATCCGCCCTTTACACAAATTGAGCTCACCGAATGACCATCTGAAGAAAATATAGGTGACGATTTAAGACCAAAAGACGAAGGAAAGATAATTGTTTTCGCTTGAAGTAAGTGGTGCTAAAAAGTTTGTTTTTTGGTCCAATTCACATTGAACAACGGTCGTTCACTTTTTCAACAAGAGCCAGTTTTAAATTCGTTACTTGAGAGGCATCTAACTGAAAAAGGTCAAAATGTTCTATCGATTGAGCTTAAAAACGAGAACAATCTTGATAACCTTTAATTAGCTAAATTTGGAAAATTGCCGAATCAAGAATACACTCATACGAGAAAAAAAGTAGGAAAATTACTACAGCTGAAAGAAGAATCGCCAATTAATGTGCTTCAGGCTAAAGTGAATTCTTAAGCTCTCAAATTTTCTTTTTTATCATTGTTATCTGATTTTTCGATATGAAAGTCTTTTTTTTTCGGAAGGTCTTAATATAAGTCAGACAGTGCCAGGGTTCACAAAAAAAGCTAAGCTTACATACAATATTTTCATACAATTCCATTTAGAACAAAAAGCTTCATGAAAAATCTATGATTCTTGATTTTTCATATATGGAAATTGAATGACTTTTCCATAAAACAAAAAATTTGAAAATGATTTCTTACATTTGGTGGGTTGTGTTTGTAACCGAACACAAGTGACAAAGACCTTGATTTTCTCAAAACAAGAGTCGTCAAAGATTAGTTTATCTTGCATTTGCAATGCATAGGAAACTACTCTAATTGTCTAACACAAATGATATAATGAAACTTTAAGCAGGCAAAAAAATGAACTTTGCATGTATAAAGCAATTTCTTTGGAAATTATTTGCTTGAGTTGCATTTTTTGAGCACTTTCAAAACTATCTGAAAAATAATATCTTCTCACCGTCGAAAAATTTTAGTTTAGCTTTTAAAATTAGCTTTTAATTAGAATTCTTTTGGCAAAAAAATCTCTTTTTATTTATGACGATTCGCCGGCTTTTCTGCCAATACAAGGAAAAACTCTTCAAAATTTTGGTGATACCATAACTCCGGCAACTTCCAAATTTTTTGATTTTGAATTTTTTATGTTTTAGCATACTCAACTCTTCTGGCTCTAAAGTTTGGTATTCAACTCAATAATCAAAATTTTAAATCAGAAAGTTACACTTGAAATCCTTTTTTTAATAATGATATCATGAATTTCAGAAATGAAACTAGAACTGAAACAAGACTGCTTGTATATTATAACATAACCCTGAGTTTTTGAATGTATATCAAAATAATTATGTTAAAACCATGCACTTCGAAAAACTTGAAATCTTTTCTAAAAACACCTCATATAAAATCTTAACATTAAAAACATACATTCAATCAGTACTGATACTCAAAAAAAATTTAATTAGTATCCCAGATTGAGTTTCACTTGTGAGTTAGCATAAAAGTTTTTCAAAAAATCCTCATCAAAAGAAAGGGATAATTTTTTTTTCAATTGTAAAACTGGTTTAAAATCTAACTCTGATGTTTTTTTTGCAATTGAGGTATTGCAGGTCTTAAGCGTGGCAGTTATCAGCGCTTAAACATCCGCTGATAATTAATGTGAAACAGCGAAATAATCCCTGAAAGTATTCTGAAGACTGGGTTTGCAACTTCTCGTCGTTTACAGTTTGTTTTGCAATTGAGATATTGCAAGTCTTAAGCGTGGCAGTTATCAGCGCTTAAACATCCGCTGATAATTAATGTGGTACAGCGAAATAATCCCTGAAAGTATTCTGAAGACTGGGTTTGCAACTTCTCGTCATTTACTATGAACCGGAATTAAACCCAGAGTCTGAAAAAATTGATAACAAATTTGTTTTGGAATTGTATCACGAGGCCAAACTAAGAATTTGTGATTTTAAGGCGAATTCCGCAACAAGAACACTACCTTTTTTTCTTTTGTTCTTTCATTTTCCTTGATCGTTCCGACAAATTTTTAACATATTTAAACTTTTATATCTGGAAGGAAAAGCATACAGGAATAAAATTGTGCGCTTATCCAGTTTGAACGTTACACTTTGATCCCCGTGCCGAATGAGACGCAGTGGACCGAAGAAAAGCATGGTATTCTTACCTGACAATATCAATTCTTTTCCTGCGATCATACTCTCGGTTCAGTTTCATTATTTTGTAACCAGCAATTTTACAATTCTTTGACTTTATATTTTGTCTTTTTTTCAATTTTGTAGCCAGGTAGACCCGAACTGACCAAAAATGCTAATCATACACTTTTCTTGCAATTCCATAAGTACAGAAAATTGCATGAAACGTCTATGATTAGTGAAGTTTCATATATTGAAATTGTATGACTAGCGTTTTTCCGTGGGCCGAAAAATTTTTGAGAGGTGTTCGTAACCGAACACAAGTGACAAAAACCAAGGTTTACACAGACTAGAGTCCACGAAGGTTTGATTGTCTCGCAATTACAAAGTAAAAAATGACCTGAACTGTCTAAAAGTCGTTCTGCACAAATGGTATACTAAAAGTATCAAACTATTAGAATTTGGCAAAAATTTTCACAGATGATCTTTTCAAAAATTTGCTGTTTCAGTTGATCAGACATTGATCAAGACATAAATAAACATGCCATACAAAAGAAATGGGTGTTTTCAACTCCTTTGAAAAAATTTATCCAGAGAAATGGAAGAAAATTAGTTTTTGTGTATCCAGGACTAGGTTATACAAATAAAAGTTTAAAATAATCATGCAAAAAGTACGAGTACAAAATTCGTTTTGCGGTTGAAAAAAGTTTTTTTTGGGCAATTTCAAAATTATTTGGAAAAATTGATGAATGGAAATTGTATGAGTAGCAATTTTTTTGACAAAAATTTATTTTTTTATTTAGTAACTGAGTTTTATGTGAAAGCAAGAAAAAAGTTCTTTGAAAATTCGATGACACCGTTTTAGCAAAATGTATAAAAACTGTGTGACTAGTATTTTTTCATAGACTTTTTTTCATGGGATTATTTTTAGTATTTTTTCGTTAGATAAACATTTTCGGTCTATGTAGGTCAACTATGGGGAGCTTCAGAATAATAGCTAGAGTAATTGATTGTTTTTTGAATTGTTTCAACGTATGTTCAAGAATTGTACCAAAGCAAATTGAAAAATGATATGCTTCCCGTCAAGTCGTAAGTGAATTACATAAAACAACGGGGCATTCTAGCAATGTTAATCAATTGTGGAATCTTGCTTTTTCAATCTTGCTTTTTGCGATATGAAAAATGAAAAAAAAAAAAAGAAACTGCCCGCAGGTTTGAAGAGACTTATAATGACAGGAGGAGGTGGAAAATCTATTCAGTTTGGATTGGAAAAACAGAGTCACAAACTGGGAGACAGATATGGGCCGGCGGGTCGGTTGAAAAAAATCCACACAAGTATATCTAATCGACAATATAGACAAAAAAGCACACAATAATCAGCCGCGCGTTTCTTCAACATTACACCCCCTTCCTGTAAGATAACTTATTACAAGTTATATAGTAGTTATATAAGTTATAATTATTTATATAAAAATTTAGTGGAGGGTATACAATTTCGTATTTCTATAGCTGGGCAGTTTTAATTTTTCTTGACCCATAGTTGAATTTTTGCGTGTTAAGCCCTAGGGTTATTGAATTAAAATTTCTCTGGTAAAGAACAGCTGATTTAAGGAAATATTGAAGATGCTATACACGATGTTATAATTAAATAGGTCAAACTAGAAGTTTCCAATTACAGTAAAGCCTTGAAAAATGCGTAAAATGCAAGGCCCTTATTAATGTATAAACTATTTGGACAAAAAACTTTGAATTAATTGATTTAAAAAGCATGTCACAAAATGTATTTTCATTCCTAAAAAAACGGGGTTGGTTTGCATCATTTTTTTTCACGGGGGCACGTGAACAAGTGTTTTTTCACAAGGAGGGTTGAGTTTTTGGGATTTTATTAAAAACAGGCGTTATTGTGTGACTTTATGAGCAGACAAACGCCTCTGCTAGCCAAGAGGCAATTTAATTTATTACGTCCAGTTTTTAGCTGTGGTCTAAATTCAGAATACAGTAACCGTTAAATGAACTTTTTTAACCATTGAAGATTTTCTTGTCTACCTTTTTTTAAAAACAAATTGCTTTTATGGGGCCATTTATGGTAATTCGCTTTCGTTTATTTTCAGTCAAATTCGTAGATTAAAAGACTAAGCCCAAAAAATGAGTTTTTTTTTGCGCATAGCAAAACTCATCCCAACTCAAAATCAATAGATGGAATTCGTTGAGAAAGTCATAAAACCAAATATGGCCTGAATACCACAACGATAGGAACTAAAAAATTCCAAATAGTCAAAAAAGTCTTTGTTTAAAGATTCCGTTGGTTACTGACTGACGTTTTTACGAGCTATTTTTTTGAAACTGCATTTAAGCTGATTTTTACTTCAATTGATTTTGCGCGACAAACATTATTTGATAGAGTCGCAAAGCCACAAAACAGTTGTATAAACATCGAGTCATTTTTTTCTCAATCTTTGGTTTAAAAATTTGCCTTCCACGAAAAGAAGAAGCAGAAAACAAAACTATTCACGTTAGTTTTTTTAATTCAAAAATGAGCTTGACAAATGGTTATGGCCTTCCTTTGCAAAATTTTTGAATCTATCAAAGCATATGATTGCAACTTTAGGCTTTTTTTTCATGGAGAGCAAACTTAACTTTTTTTAATCTCCAGCAAGAAACTTTACGTGAAAAAACTTAAAATGGAAGACTATTTTTTCTTATTGAAGGAAGTATTATTTTCATTTTAGAAAAAAGCAAAAAAGGGATGACTTTTAGAGTTTTTAACTCACGCTGTTGGTCCCTGAGACGTAAAGCAGCGACTGTGCAAGGAGGGGGTCAAATTTGACCTTGTGAGGGGGGATATCGACTGGAGATTGGAATTTTCCATCTCTGCAGATTCGCCAGTCTCTGTTCACAATACCCCAGTGGTCTGGACCTGAAACAAAAAAAATAAAAGGAGTCAAAAGAAATCAATGAGATCAAAGAGCTCGAAACAGGTCAAAACTGGTAAAAGAGGTCAAATTAGGTCGAAGGTTACTGCCCCGCATTTACGAAAAGTGAAAAAAAATCGATTATAATGGATTTTCGTGGTCTATAAAGTTGTAAAAATTATCGATTCCCATGTTACGTTCAGACAACAAAATTGGACTAAAAATGGATTTTTTCTAGTCAAATTCATTTTTTCTCGTCAAAACAAAATGCATTATAATTCATTTGGAATCCATTATAATGGATTTCATAACAAGTAGGAAATCTTATTCAAAAGGATTTTTTTTTTTCACTTTATTTTTGTTTCGCGCGTCGTGCAAAATTTTGCGAGAATTTCTGCATTTATCAAAATATGCGGAAACTTTGCAAAGCGGTTGTACGGCCTAACCCATTTCTAAGCCTATACTCAATTTGCACAAAGATTCCGTTAAGTCCCCCCTAACGTTTGCCCTTTTGCTCCCCTTCATGAACCCCCTTAGATTTTATAACAAGTAGGAAATCAAATTTAAATGGATTTTTTTCCACTTCATTTTTGATTCGCGTGTCGTGCAAAATTTTGCAAGAATTTCTGCGTTTATCAAGTTATGCGGAAACTTTGCAAAGCGGTTGTACGGCTTAACCCATTTCTAAGCCTAAACTCAATTTGCACAAAGATTCCGTTGAGTTCCACTGAACCCCCTCCCCCCACTGAACCCCTCCCCCCACTGAACCCTCTCCCCCACTGAACCCCCCCCCCCCCACTGAACCCACTCCCTTCCCCACCTGAACCCCCCACCTGAACAAACCCCCAACTTAATGAACCCACCACCCCTCTCCCACCTGAACCCACCCCATCCCCCACCTAAGAACACCCCCCCCCCCCCGGGGGGGCTGTTGTAAATGGGCAAACGCTAGGTGACGTAAGGGAAGGTGGCAAACGATAGGGGGTAATCGAGTAACATAAAAAGGAACAAAAAAATCAAAGTTAGGCAGAAAAAAACTTAAATTGAACAACATGTAACCAACGTAACCAACTTAAGCTTAAAACATAGAAAAGACCTTATGTGTGTTGAAATTCGTTATCTCAGTAAAGTGGGAAAAAATTGATTATAACTTAGTTTCATTGTCAGTGTCCACAAAACTGAAAAAAAACCATTAAAATGGATGAAAAAAAGGATTTTGTTGCCTCGAAAATATTAATATTATAAATCAATTTTAATTGATTATAATCGATTTGTTTTCATTTTTGTGGACACTGACAAGTAAACTCAATTATAATCGATTTTTATTCATGAAACTCCAATGCGGGGCGTTACTCAAGAAAATTGGCGACGTGCAGCACTTTCGGACAAAACAAGGGTAACTTGTTGCTCTGCGAATAGCATAGAAGAGTCCGATCTAATAACAATATAAACTTTATAAAATTATAAAGTAATTAAAAAGTACCAGAGTTTTCAAGTTAAAAAAAAAACTTTTTTTTTGCAAAATTTCAAAGTATTTTTAGAAATATTTTTGTTTCAAAAAAGTTGTGTCCGTAACAGCTGTATCTTAAGCAAAAACGGTAAAAATTAGAAACTTCTTTTCTCGATACTACAAATTTTTTTTGGAGCTTAAAGCATGGCTGAAGTTTCGTAACTTACAAGGTGTATTCGAAATATCAATTCTCTTCTGCAAATTGGGAGTTCCAAGTTTGCCAAACTATCTGTTTTGTGAACTAATTTATGCACACTTTAGAAACTTTTCATTTGATTGATTCTGAAAGCGTAACGCCAACTACGCAGCCTTCAAAACCGTTTGTTCTTTAATTAAAATGAAGATAGCTAAGAGCTTGTTTGTTTTATTTTGGCTGTTAAAGCCAAATCTTTTCGATACTCTTTAAAGGGCAGTCTGAGCATTCAGGGCTTTTCTTTGATACACAAGCAACCTTGTTTAAACCAATTTTAATTGATACCAAGCTTAGACTTGAATCCGAAAACGATTTCACGTTTCCGACTGCTTTTTAGGATCTATAGAAAAATTTTCGATCACAAGAAGTTATGCAACTTTATGAAAAAGGAAACCTTATTAGCCAAAATTCATTACGAGGCCAAATTCTGCACTGGATAGGCGCACAATTTTGGGTCCGTATGTTCCTGGAATCCAGAGACAAGTCTTTAATTATATTAATTTTGTGACGGAATGATCAAAGGAAATGGAAGAACAAAAAAAGAACAAAGGGAGCGTGCGGAATCCGCTTAAATTTCCCAAAAATCATAGTTTGACTTCGTAATATTTCGAAGATTTTCGTGAATGTCATCCTCCTTTTAAAAATCGATAAATTTAGAAAAAATAGATATTTGCAGCATAAAATAACTAATGAAGAAGAACAAACAGCGTACCTCTTTTCGATTTCAAATAATTTCTGAGTTGGGTTCCACTAGCCGCTTACATTTTTATAGCATCGCAGCACAAAAGTTATTGCATTTTGTCCGTAATGGCCAAAACAGTCTTCCTTGCAGACCCGGGTTGACCAAAACTTCTAATCATACAATTTCCAAATATGAAAAAACTATTTTCATACAATTTCTTACAACTCCATATGTACAAAAAATTTTTTGAAATCTACTTGATAAACATTTTTCCATATAGGCAAATTGTATGATAGGTGTATTCCATAAACCAAAATTTTTGATGATCTTTTTTTCTAAATTTAATTTCTCGAAAATTTTGGGTTGTGTTCGCAACCGAACGCAAGTTACAAATACCTTGGTTTACTCAAAGCTGGAGTCAAAAAAATTGAACGGTCTTGCATTTACAATGCATAGAAAACGACCTGAATTTTCATAGAGCTGTCTTGCACGGATAATATAACGAAAGAAACAAACTTTTAAATTTTCAAGGATGATTCTTTTTGAAACTTGAAGTCCCAAATTATCAGACATTTATCAGGACACACAAAAACATGCCATACAAAACAAAGAGTTTTAAGCGTTTTTGAAAAAAGTATTAGGCGGAAAAGAAAAACAAATATCCAATATTTGTTTATCCAGGACTACGTTATGCACAAAAAAATTAAGTTTTGCATTCCAAAAAAAATCATTTTTTGGAAAATTTTTGTTTGAGTACAAAATTTGAATTGCGGTTCGAAAAAAAAACAAAATTTTTTTTGCGGTAATTTCAAAATTAGTCGGAAAAGTTTGTGTTGTAGCTATCAAAAAAAAATGCTAGTCATACAATTTTCCGTAAATGAAAAATATGTGATAAGCTTTTTGTTTGGACAGAAAGCTTTTTCTCTTTAGAACCATATACCGACTTTTATGCTAAAACAAGAAAAAGTTCCCTGAAATTTTGCCGACACATACTTTTTTTTAGCAAAATGTATGAAATTTGTATGATTAGTATTTTTGCATAGTTTAGTTTTTGGAAATGTGTGATTAGCATTTTTGGTCTACAGAGGTCCAACCGGGTAAATCGATAAGAGGTAAAATATTGCTTTAAAATTGGGCTCAAGTCAATGATATCGATAAGATCATTCAAAAAAAAGTGTCTAAAATGACTAGTTGGAAAATGTGCAAAAAAAACACTCCGAGCAGAAGTTTTAGTCTGTCACTTTAACAAAAAAAACATATATCAAGCTTTTTCAGATTATGTTATCGTAGTTGGTTTGCAAAGAAAACGAAACTTAATCAGACTTTTTCGAACGACAGCCGTGTTACTACGGAAAGATGAAAATTTTTTTTAGATAAACTTTGCGTGTGATCCCACATTGATCAATTAAGAAAAACTTCAATGCAAAATTGGAAAATTTTATGCAATTTCCTCTATGAAATTCCCTCAGGAGGTTCAATTAAATTCTAAAAGACTATCGATGGGTTGAAAATATCATGTGGTTTTTGACAATGACACAGAAAAATTTTTTATTTGTTTTTCTGCTAAAAATAAAAGTTTTTTTTTGGTTCAAAAATTGATTTTGCATTTCCAATTTTAGTTCAAAAGGAGAATTCTTTGTTTTTCATATCTTATCGAACTAAATGACTGTCCATTTTTCAATAAACACGCTCCGCCCCTCTTTATCACACTTAATCTCCATTCAAAATTGGATTAGAACCAATTCATCCTTCATTTTCTAAATCGACACGCATCAACAGTTAAGAACAAATTTAACCAAATGGAGCTTGAACTAAACACACCTTTTGAGAAGAATTAGCCTCCAATATAAATCATATCAAAAACAAATTCACCTTTTATTGATACCGCCAAAGTGAACTGTTTTGCTTTCACTTCTTTAAAACAATTGTTGAAAAATCAACTCACGTTTTCACGGCCTATGGTTCGAAATTTCAAAGAACTCGATATTTTTTGTTGTTTTTAATGGCTTTCTTTTCATGGCTTTCAATTTTTTTGATTTAGGCTGGCCAGCAAAACATTATTTGCTAATTTGCAGTTTAAAATGGTTCGATGTTCGAATTGAGATTAGCTTGTTCGAATTTTGATGTAAATGTTTTAAAGCTCCTAAAGGTTTTTATTGTGCCTGGTCTCAAATTTAAAAAGAATTTCACCTGCGATCGTTTTTGTACTCATGAGAGTTAAAAGATAAATTAGGGATAACTATCGCACAAAATATTTCGGGCTATATCAGCGCGAAATAATCCTTCTTAGAAATCCGTTCAAATTGAATTGAGCCGAACTACTTGGTCTCTTTAGTACTTTCTTTTTAAAAAATATATCACTTGTAGCTTCCATAGTGCGTTGGCGGATAATTAAAAAAAATTTAAAACGCTAGATTCGAAAGAAAAAAATGGAATTGGATTTATTTCTCGGTTTAAGGTCGCCGGCTTTGCGGCAATAACCGGCTCTAAATTACGTATAGAGTCCTACCCTCCGTTGGCAAGCTCGCAACACGTTGGCGCGACTGCGGCGGTCACTATTATTGGCTCAATTGTCTTTGGCTGAATTGTCTGCATACTTTTGGCTGAATTGTCTGAATTTCAAATCAGCTGAATTGTCTTTGGCCGAATTGTCTGGACGCGAGCAAACTATATAGACTGCAAACACTCATAAAGCGAACAGTACTCTATAGACTTTAAAAATAATTGATGTTTTCAGGGCTTTTCCCTGATATGAGCAATTTATCAGATATTTGGTATCAAACTAATCAGTCCAGTGTCCTAATAGGTTGTCTAGGCCTTTGAAAAAAATAAACAAGGTTAAGTAACGAGATTTTGTTTGCATATCAGTTTAAAAAAGAACATTTTTTCAGAGCTGGGAAAAATATCTCAAAATGTTGATCCGCTACTTTGATTTTAGGCCATTGACCTAATTCTGTTGTTTTAAACCTTATTCATTGAGGATATAAATGAGAATCAAACTTCTCGAATCAGCAAAATTTCGGATACCTACAAAGCTGTTTTAGATAGCTTTGGATGAGACTTCCAATTTTTTTTCAAACAAAAACCTATCACAGACAACTGTTAAATTGGTCATTGATACCTCTCTCAAGATATAAAACAGAGCCTCAAAAATTTTGAACAAGAACAGGTTTGCCTTAATGTAAGAAACTGAACAAAATCAATTTGATTGCTCTAACCGCCTCTGGTTTATTACTTCTGTTATAACGAAAAAATAACTTCAAGGATTTTTAAATTCAAGCTAAAACCTCGAGCATTAGTTAGTTTTGTATCAATATCAGTACAAATTGAAATTTAAAAGCTAAACCGATACAACTTTTTTCTTAAAAAAAACCTGTAAAAGGTCAAAAAAATAAATTTAAAAAAAAGTGTGTTAAAAAAATGTCCGCAACCAGATAAATCATATCAGGATGCAAATCCTAACGTTTTGATGTTTTTAAGCACGTTTAAGTACGTTTTGATGAAACCTGTCGACTCAATTCAACAGCTTCATCTAAGATCTAAGACCATGTTGTGCTAAAAAATTTTCTAATATCATACAAGCTTGTTGATCTTTAAAAATGATTTGAAATTGAGTTGTTTTTTTTTGTATGAACACTAATTTTAAACTATCAAGTCTGTACTTAACTCGAAAACCATGACTAACTAAGCAACACTTGATATAGTACCGTAGAGACCTTCATAAAACAGAACAGATTACTTCAGCTTTGCATCGGCTAATTATTGATAAAATTTTCTGCTTATATTTGACCCAATGTTTCAAGTATACAACTTTATCACGACACCGAAAAATACCAAATAAAAAAATCCAAAAAAATGGAATGGTTTTACTATACTTATCATTGATACTCAACAAAAAAATAGTGTTTTCTATCACTGTATTAGTGTGCTATCAAGTCACTTTGAAAGTTGTAGCTTCAATAAATTCAAGCATTGAAAATTACAATTGCCAAACAGCTCCTTAAAACGAATGCAGCATCCAATGATTAGTCTAGCAGTGAAGATAGCCAACGGAACTAATTTTTATACCTAATAAAAATAATTTTTTGAGATATCAATTTTTGTGAATTAGAAAAGCATACGTTTCAAAGTCTGTTTGAGAAAAATAAACGTTTTAAAGAACTTTAATATAAAAGTTTTATCCAAGACTGCCAATAAAATTGCTAAAGACTCCTATGATCAAAGTTTTGACATCTGATGTTAATTTTGTGTAGATAATTACCAAAGCATATCAAAAAGTCGATTATGAGAGCCGTCAAAAGCTCCAATGATTAGTCGCAACACGTTGGCGCGACTGCGGCGGTCACTATTATTGGCTCAATTGTCTTTGGCTGAATTGTCTGCATACTTTTGGCTGAATTGTCTGAATTTCAAATCAGCTGAATTGTCTTTGGCCGAATTGTCTGGACGCGAGCAAACTATATAGACTGCAAACACTCATAAAGCGAACAGTACTCTATAGACTTTAAAAATAATTGATGTTTTCAGGGCTTTTCCCTGATATGAGCAATTTATCAGATATTTGGTATCAAACTAATCAGTCCAGTGTCCTAATAGGTTGTCTAGGCCTTTGAAAAAAATAAACAAGGTTAAGTAACGAGATTTTGTTTGCATATCAGTTTAAAAAAGAACATTTTTTCAGAGCTGGGAAAAATATCTCAAAATGTTGATCCGCTACTTTGATTTTAGGCCATTGACCTAATTCTGTTGTTTTAAACCTTATTCATTGAGGATATAAATGAGAATCAAACTTCTCGAATCAGCAAAATTTCGGATACCTACAAAGCTGTTTTAGATAGCTTTGGATGAGACTTCCAATTTTTTTTCAAACAAAAACCTATCACAGACAACTGTTAAATTGGTCATTGATACCTCTCTCAAGATATAAAACAGAGCCTCAAAAATTTTGAACAAGAACAGGTTTGCCTTAATGTAAGAAACTGAACAAAATCAATTTGATTGCTCTAACCGCCTCTGGTTTATTACTTCTGTTATAACGAAAAAATAACTTCAAGGATTTTTAAATTCAAGCTAAAACCTCGAGCATTAGTTAGTTTTGTATCAATATCAGTACAAATTGAAATTTAAAAGCTAAACCGATACAACTTTTTTCTTAAAAAAACCTGTAAAAGGTCAAAAAAATAAATTTAAAAAAAAGTGTGTTAAAAAAATGTCCGCAACCAGATAAATCATATCAGGATGCAAATCCTAACGTTTTGATGTTTTTAAGCACGTTTAAGTACGTTTTGATGAAACCTGTCGACTCAATTCAACAGCTTCATCTAAGATCTAAGACCATGTTGTGCTAAAAAATTTTCTAATATCATACAAGCTTGTTGATCTTTAAAAATGATTTGAAATTGAGTTGTTTTTTTTTGTATGAACACTAATTTTAAACTATCAAGTCTGTACTTAACTCGAAAACCATGACTAACTAAGCAACACTTGATATAGTACCGTAGAGACCTTCATAAAACAGAACAGATTACTTCAGCTTTGCATCGGCTAATTATTGATAAAATTTTCTGCTTATATTTGACCCAATGTTTCAAGTATACAACTTTATCACGACACCGAAAAATACCAAATAAAAAAATCCAAAAAAATGGAATGGTTTTACTATACTTATCATTGATACTCAACAAAAAAATAGTGTTTTCTATCACTGTATTAGTGTGCTATCAAGTCACTTTGAAAGTTGTAGCTTCAATAAATTCAAGCATTGAAAATTACAATTGCCAAACAGCTCCTTAAAACGAATGCAGCATCCAATGATTAGTCTAGCAGTGAAGATAGCCAACGGAACTAATTTTTATACCTAATAAAAATAATTTTTTGAGATATCAATTTTTGTGAATTAGAAAAGCATACGTTTCAAAGTCTGTTTGAGAAAAATAAACGTTTTAAAGAACTTTAATATAAAAGTTTTATCCAAGACTGCCAATAAAATTGCTAAAGACTCCTATGATCAAAGTTTTGACATCTGATGTTAATTTTGTGTAGATAATTACCAAAGCATATCAAAAAGTCGATTATGAGAGCCGTCAAAAGCTTAATTTGATAAAAACAAAAAGATTTTTAGAAAAATTTTTGAGTGTTCCTAACTAACTAAAAAAGAATACAAAGAATACTAAGCTATTCTACATCAAATTTTTTGAAATTTGATTTATAATACGTTGAACAAAAGAGAAACCATCGGCTATAATCACAGCTAAAAATTATTTGTTTCTTCTTGTGCATATGTTATCAAGAACTGTGAGATTATTAATAAATATCAAATACTCAAAATTATTAAAAATATAACTGACTAAGTGACTTGAATTCTCAGTGTTACACTTAATGTATTCGCAAAGAGACTTTAAAAATGTTCTCTGGAATGTTTATCAATTAGGCGAAAAAAAACCTAGAGTTTTGTATCAATATTCAGTGTGAAAGTCAGACATTACCCGAAATCTGTAGTGGCATCCTTCTGTTTGATTGCTCCGATATCATCAAAGGAAAATGTGCCTTGCGGTGTTTCTATTTTATTAAGCTAATTTCAATAAGCTTCATACCTTAATTCAGCTACCTTACAAATTTCTTACGTTTCTAACTCCCTGAGTCGAAAACGATCGGTTCAAAATTAAAAAAAAAAATTTAAGGACTAATGCATATCAAGTTTTCTTTTACTGGTTTTCACAATAGATAAAATTTTTATGAAAGTGAGGCTGACTTCTGTAAAAGAAAACACGATGAGATTTCTTTTTGAATTTTTTTTTGGAAAAAAAAGAAACGATTATGTTTGCGAAAGTTTTTATTTTGCGCAAATTACAGTTTTTGGATTAATTTGTTCACCTTTATGACATATGCTGACTTTCTAATTAATAGAACATTTTCTGCAAAATATTTTACATGAGTTAGGTTGCTGGAATAAACTCAATCTATAAATTTAATCATCCTGATTTTCAAATTTAGTATAAGCGGTTCTAGAAATTTTCGCAACCTCTCCGCTTTGCAAAAAGATGTGCGAGCCTTCAAGAATGCGTGTTATTATTTTTTGTATACTAATTATGTTGACCAGATTCATTTTGTGCTTCAGCATCGTGAATCTTTTTGCTAGTGATGAATAAAATAAAAATAAATTGGAAATCGTCTCCCCATCTGTTTTAAGAAAGCTCTAGACGCTATTCCCCCACCCTCTTCACGGAACTATAAGCAATCATATTTGTCAAAGATGTCGTAAAGTAGTACCAAAGGGGGAACCTCTGGGTTGTCTGGGGATCCAATTTCTGAAGGCCCCCGGGGAGGGGGGCGTCTTTCCCAAATGCACTATTGATTTTTGGTATTCCAACACTCTCGTGACTCACCTCTGTCCGAGTTCTTGTCGTATTCCCACCAGTCGGCCCAGGTAGTCGGCACATCTGAAAACACAGTAGAGTTTTCGGAAACATTAAGATTTAGATTTAGTTATTCAAGTGAAAAAGTATCATTTGGTCATTGTATGATCATGACTTTTTCTCAGGGCTCTTTTCCAGTCCCTTCCTTTTAATTTTTTTTTTCTGAAATTTAATATTTTAAAGTTTATTTAAAATGAATTCTAATAGTAAGAATTAAATCAAATTTTGTCTGCGTGAACAGGTGAACAAATGTTCACATTTCTTACATGTAAAATGGAGTGAGTGTGAACATTTTTTTGAAAGCTTTTTTTAATTTTAACAAGGTAATTCGCAGGCTCGAAACAGGGTTGTAAATTGTACCAAAAAATGTACTTGGCTGACTGTGAGCCTGAAAACAATTTATTATGACTATTAATTGTGCGTATGGATTATAGTCAAATTTCCTCTTTGTATATCATAAATAATCCTCACAATCTGTCCCTAAGAAGGTCTTTTTATGGGTTGACTGAAAATAGCTTTGAAAGCCAGAAATCTGTATTTAGGAATAGTAATAGGCATACACTTTTCCTTTTTGCCATATTTCCTACGCTCGTATTACTCGGAACAAACCCTGTCAGATAAAACTAGAAAGAAAAAATTTTGCCCAGTTTCTGGGAAGTTTTTCAATAGAATCTTCATTTCGCGCCAATCAAACTTGATCTAGTTTTTGTCGGAGATTTACTTTGAGAAAAAAAAATTGCATCATTACAACACACATCCACACAAATTTTTTATCGGAACTTAATCAGTGTATCCCGGGGTTGAATTTAGGTACAGATCATCCGATTAATAATGCTTTCAACACTTTTTGCAGGAAAGCCGAGCAACGTTACGTGGTATATTTGGTACGTGTAATAATAGGTTTACTAATAGGTAATAAACATTATAGGATTAGTTTGAAGAATGGTATCTGCATATACCTTTTTTTCCAGCGGATTTTTTTCCAGGAAAATGGTCTAGATTTATCTCTTTATTCTGTTTGAGTTGATTGATTGCAGCATTTCTAAACTCACACCCACCTAACATTCCTAATTTGTGAATCCATTTGTTTCTTTTTGAAGGATTACATCGTTTTCCAAAACCTACTCCGCTAAATGCGCTTGCGGATTGGCGTCACGTAATGCGACTTGATAGTAAGCGGTACTTTTACTAGCTCCAGTGAAAAGTGAAACACTAAATCTATACCGGTATCAACAATTGAAAGGGCGGTATCTCATTGCGTAAAAAATAACTAACTGTGATTGATATTTTGTAATTGACTTTTATTTCGCGGTGAATCAAATCGAGTTTTTTCAGGCCATCAAAACGACAAGAGTCAATATTCCTCTCGTATTTTTAAATCTACCATCCCTTGATTCAAAATCACTCAACTTGAACCCAAAATAGTTGAAAGACAGGGCAAGTTCCAGACTAATATAATAACACCGCCCTCAAAATGACATTAAGTTGTAAAGTGTTCGCAAGTTGGCGCTATCTGCTATGATGGTTGCAGTTACAGGATTTCTCTTTCAATTCCCCCTCTGGAAATGGGTTATTCAATACTAAACCCAATTTGTAGGCTTAACCGTTGATATAGAGAGACGGATGATTTTTATTAAGTTGCAGGGGAGCATGTCAAAAAGATCCATATTTTAAATTACGAACTCATTTATCCTGTCTAAACAAATCGTAGCAATTGGAAAAGTTCACACAACTATTAAGCTTCTAGTTCGGTTACCGTTCAAAAAACGATTTGAGCAGTCAAAACAGAGTTTAAAATAGATTTTAAAAAAAGGTTTTTCCATACAGAATTTGCAGGACGAAAAGAGATATTCTCAAACAGCAGCAAGTTTCAAAAACAGAAAATGGTTAGCAGAGGTGCATAACTTCTTATGGCATATTTTGTTCAGTAGAGATGCAGAAAAGGTTTTTCAAATATGTTGCGCAAAGAAACAATCATGAAAACAACCGGGCATAACCAATTATAGTTGGTCTAATTCAATACTGAAATTGCTAAAAAGAGAATAATGCAATCTTCTCTTGATCATCAGTGTGCTGCTGCAAATCAAATTGCTGATGCAAACAGTGACAAAAACAACACTGCATATCAAAGCAAAGTGAATAATTAGAAGTGTCTCTTAGGGAGCTTGGAATTATATTGGAAAAAATATAGATAAAATGGAATAAATATAGATAAATGATAGTCAAGTTGCAGGAGTTGTGTCGACTAGGAATGAGTCGAATCATATATCTAATCAAAGCCCCTTTAGTCTTAAATTGAACGATTTTAAAGAATTATCAAAAAGATTTTCCAATGTCGAAAAAACCGGCTTGAAATTTTTGATTTTTTTGTCTAATTTCGAGCTAATAAAGCTAGCGAGAATGTTTAATTTTTTTTGTTTTAGTTTGACTCGAGTGAAATTTGTTTTTGGAGGTTTATCAACACAACTTTGAGAAGCGAAAAAGTCAAAGTTTCTGCAAAAAAAAGCTTAAGAAAAAAGATTATTTTTTAACTTTGTTAATGATTTTTTTCTTTTTCCGGTCTTTTTTATATATGAAGTGTTGTCGAGTTGCCTGTTTTTCTTTGACTGTCAAATATGCCTACAAAGTTGTAGTTTTTTCTCATTTCTTTTATCACACCACGCACAAAAAAGGACACAAACTTGAAGAAAAATGTGTGCTCTTGAGACTATGGTCGGAACAATCAGTGCTACTTGCACACTAGCCAGTTCTCTTTGTTTCTTTTTGGAATGATTTTGAGTCAAAACTGTTTGCCGTTTATGCGTTTTAGGGTCGCGTTTATTATCTTGAGTTGAACAAAGTAGCAAGTTGAAACCCCATAAAATCACAAATAGTAAAACCAGGCACGCAGAGCTGTATGCAAGTATTTTGTAATTTAATTGATTGTTTATCAATACATTTTTTTGTATAGTCTGAGAGCTAATGATGTCCTGAGAAGAAACTTTCGTTCCGACCAACGAAAATGGAGATGAACTTTGTATTCGGGTGTGTTTTAGATTTTTTTTCTTCTTTTTGTTTTCCATGCAAAATCAGCTACCACAATGAATCATGATACTGGGTATTGGTTGATATATCATATTAAAGCCCTATCAGTCGTGATTCGAACGACATCAAAAAATTTCAAGAAGTTTTCCAGTGTCGAGAAAAGCCGATTAGAGTTTTTTTGTCTAATTTAGAGCGAATCATCAGGCTTACATTAGCTTATTTATATTTAATTTAAGCCTTGAAAATTTTGATTTTTTTTTGTTTTTCTAGTTATTTGTTTTGTGGTTGAAAATTTTTTTTACAATCTGCATACTTTACAATGACTGACGAAAATGCTTAAACTCTACTTTTTTCGCTCAGATTTTTTTTATCACTCCAAGCTGAAAAAAACTACACTAATCAGAAAAAGAATTTTTTTGTGTTTTTTAAGAACGGTCGGAACATTGTGTGCTATTTGCACAGCAACCGGCTCTCCTTGTTTCAATTGTAATCACATTCGTATAAAAAAAATTAATCGTTTTTTTGCCCGAAAATTAAACGTATCACTACGAGGCCAAACTGTGCACTGAATAGGCGCACAACTTTGTATCTGTATGTTCCTGGATTCCTCAATATGCTAAAACTTTGTCAAAACGATCAAAAAAATGTATAAGAACAACGGAAACGTCCTTGTTGCGGAATCCACTTACAATTCACAAAATGCACAGTTTGGCCTCGTAATGATTTTGGTGGATAGGCAAAACAATAATTTTAGTTAGTAGATACAAAAAATATTGAGCTATTAAATTACTGAAGAGCTCAAAACTTTCGCACTCCACTGGTGTAAGCAAACGAAATGTTTTATAGTTTTACCAAAGTTTTCAACGAAAAAGTATCTGGACGGCCAAAAAATAATCAAATCTACTTCTTTGAAGATGCCTGAAAACAAATGATCAAAAACCAAAAAAAAACAGATTTTGTTTGTCGCCATCAAGATTTTTTAGTGGAAAGTTTTTGGCGAAAAAAAACTTGTTTGTTTACTGCAGTGGAGTAATGCTTTGTTGCCAATTTGTTTTATTAGAAACTTTTTGCATTTTTTGAAAAAAATTTAAGCTCTCAGTTAGTAATTAGTGAACAGTTTGTATCTCAATACTTGTTTCTATCTATACATTAAACAAACTACATTACCTTTATACCAAAGTTTTCGTTTTCAAATTTAAAAAAAAAAACCTTCATATCTATTTGGTACAAATGTGGTCATAACCGTGAATTAACTTTTCACTTGACCTCAGAGCATCAATATCTTTCAGACTATACAAAAAAAAAATTGAAACTTGTCTGGAGAAATGAAGACGGTATTTCCTCTTTTTCTACAAAACTGAGAAGGAAAATCCGGATCTGAAATGACAAGCTTCCAAAATTGACACCTCACTGAAGAGATCAAGTTTTTAGACGGCATATCTCACTGTCTCAACTGAGTATCAAAAATAACATGAACGAAAGAAGTTGAACACGATATTAGGGCACAAAAAGTGAACAAACTGCATTTTTCTGCAGATGACGAAGTTAATTCGAACTTTAAAAAAAACATACAATTTGAGACATATGGCTCAAAATAAATAACTTTTCTCTAAACTTAGATTTTTAGATACATCTTATTTTCACGCCCCTTTGCTTATTAGCTCCCATATCATTTATCACTTAGAAAACTAGATTCTTTTTTAATAAAAAAAATCAAAAGCTAGACGTTTAGTTTCGCAGGGCAGCAGACTGATTTGCAGCAGCAGACTGATTTGCAGCAGCAGATTGATGATCAAGAGAAGATTGTACTATTTTCTTTTTTTATCAATTTCAGTATTGAATTAGATCAACTATAATTGGTAATTTAACCAACCAAGTTTTTCGTATCTATGATTAAAAGGCGATTTTCACCAGCTAATTTGAATCAAACCGGGAAGTGAAAAAGAGCGTTCTGCTTGAACCGGTTTTGACCCGTAAGATCAATTCCAGTTAAAGACATA